TCAGACTGCGTCAGCAATCCCAATGCGTATGGCTCGATTGTTAAAGAGCCTGGGGCCGCAGAACAATGGCAAATACGAATGGCATGGTTCTGACCCTTCCACTGGCCCAAGTGATAGGCGCTGGAATTCCCCGTACGATCCTTCGGCAGCCCGAGCACATACCATGCAGAAGAGATAGTCCACACTTTGCAGGTACCTTACATTTAGGGCAGTATTTTTCATAACACGACAACGGACATGGATGAGTCGGTAAGGCTTAGGCGTACTGGGCGTTTCAGTAAATTAAGATATCATTTAGTCGTAGTATTACCTGGATGGCCTAGTGGTGTGATTCTTGCTGTCTGAACAGCACTATCTCCGAGAGGTCCCGCGTCCGTCGTTTTTTTCTCTCCTATAAAGAAAACAACACCCTCGCCTTGCTTCTACATATCCCATTCACCTTTCGAATTGGTTTTGATTTTCGATTCCAATTTTTTGCCCTTTATGTTTATCCCCGAGATGACACAGGCTTGGGGCTGGAAACCGCCACTGCCGTTAACAGAGCGCGGGGAAGGCCCAACCCAAGATCTCCCATCTCTGCCAAAGTTTCACGAGAGTTTAAGAATCCAAACATCGAGCGGATTAATCCTAATTCTAATGCTCAATTCAATGCTTTGACACACGAATACGGTCTGATAACTGCAAACGGCCACGGGAAACAGTGGAAGCTTCCATCAGTTCCCCTCCATCGATGACATATACTTGATGCAGTCCTGCAGCCAATTGGCAACAAGGAACAACCAAGATAATGCTGAAACGCCGGCGTTTCTGCACGTCACAAAATAGAGCGATGATGTGATTCATTGTTAAATCATAGTGAGCAAAAGTTGAAGAACATCCTTGCCCCCAGGATTGATGCCCCTGTTCGGTTGTCTACTATTGGTGTCGAGTACATCGAACATCCAACAGTGAACTTCCGTCGAATGTATTCTATTTAGGTTTCCTACTAGTACCAGGTAAGTAATTAACTGGACTACCCGACCATCAGTTAAACGGGGCGAGTAAGGTTACTAAGAGATCATCTAGTGTATAACGCGGACAGTGCATTAGTTCAACAGTAAAACACCCTCCTTCAGCACCTCATTGGACCAGCCCATGATCCGATCGTGGAGGTACCTTACCTCCTCCAAGGGGCCCTAACCTTGCTAAGGAAATTGCTCAAGGCCTAAAACAATACAATTAGCGGTGATGAATTAGACGGAGTTGTTCCCTTCAACGAAGTGGCGGGCAGAACTCCGGTGCGGAGGGGCTGATCGACGTGGCTGTCAACCAAACAGCACATCCGTCAATAGCTTCCTCCCAGCCATGAGGGCGACTTTCTCGTTTAGCCCCTCATTGTATCCCAATCCCTAAAAGGGACTGGGCCAAGGGGCATTGACGCCACCACCCACCATCGAGGAGGGGAAAAGTTTACGTGGAGGGGTCCCCCGTCTCAGGTTTCGTCGTCTCCTCTGGCCTTTTTTCGATCTATCGAGAAATGTCTTGGGTTCGCTTCTCACATTTCGTCCCCTTTCATTTGTTCAACTTTTCATTTTACCTTTTTCTATTCCTGCTATTTAATCTATGGATTAAAGTTGGCAGGGATGATGATATCAAAACGAATTTCGAGATCCTGGAAAGATACGGTAATTATGGTCATGGAAGGGAAAGTTCCTTATCAGCCTGTTTCTGAAACCTGGAGCGGGGTAAAAAGTCCCGGCTCTGTGGATGTCGCGCACGGTCTTTGCCTACTTTAAGTCCCTTAATCATTTATAGTCCGCTATAGAGTAGGTACACCGCAGGTACCGGCTCTAGTCAATCGGTACTAATTGGTAACCCGGTCCTAGTAGGGAATCAGGACCTACTTGGTTGTACTCTGTAGGTACCCAAGTCACTGGGACTATTAGTTTGTACCTGATTGACCCATTAATTGTGCTAAAATAGCCTCGGGTCTTACGTATACACGCCCGCAGATGAGACACCCCAAGACAATGTCTTGACGTCGTCCCTATTCAAGAAAGATCATGAGTCAATCAGGCCACGGTCTATACGAACCGGACCTGAGCAAAGAATACTATTTCCAGCCCCATAAAGTTTTAGATACGGAGCCAGTGGCGCATCAGCTCGCCCATCTCGTTCCAGGCACCTGTGAACATCTCCAGCGTAGTCCACTGTACCTGTCTTTCTACTCTGTCGTCTTAAGAAAGAAAATCCAGTCACGCAATCTTAACAACTAATAATATAATCTACTACGATGTGGCAGCCGACCTGACTCATGACCATGCAAATCATCCTGCATAAACCCACCTGCACCCATCGACACATGTGGCAAGAATGCGGCGTAGCGCCCGAAACTAGCCGCTGGACAATTCACCAAGAAGCATTCGTTGGCATCCATCTGCATAGCTAACTTTTTGCTGATGGCTGCGTGGATGGATTGCGAATCGCTGAGGCTGACACACTCTACAGACATAGGCCGGGTTGTCCCTTGCTGTTTTCTTACACATCTTATTTTATGATTACAATTCGGACGATCTTCGTTTTTATGCCGACGATTGGCATTGCCCCGTTTTGATCAGCTGATCCCTCGTTCTTATGTGTACCTGAATTTTCTGGTTGGCAGGCTGGGGGGAAAGATATCACATGTAAATGTGAATCCATAAGGTTGTCTGTGCTTATGCTCTGGTCTGTGCGACGACTGAGGCGTCAGATGTACGCGTTGCTTCTGCGGTTTTGGCTTTTCGTCTTGAACCTATCGGGATGGTTTTGGCTCGAAGTATAGATGTATGTATTGAGTTAGGTATGTATGTACATACCCTGGGAGGGAAGTATATATGCACAGCCGTTGTTCGGGCGTAATGTAGATTTTATCTCGGATATTAGGCTATTTTGTCAAGTATTTTTTTTTTTTTTTCTTTTTGAAAAGAGACAGTCTTATCTGTCTAGGACACTGGCCACGGCACTAACCATCACCGCTGCTTCCCGTTCCCAGTTTCCCTTCGTTCCGGAGTCGACTCCCATCCGTCCTTTATCGGTCGATGCTGGGAGCTGAGATCCCCGGAGGACACACTCTTTGATGTCCTTCTTGAGGCGGTCCCGGTTAGATCGGAGGGTCCTTGCCGAGACGCCGCCACGGTTGATAATCTCCTGGACACGCGAGGTGAGAGACGAGGCGAGGGAGCGCCAGAAGTGCGATGGGAGGGAGGATGCGTCGAGGGTACTGAGCAGCGGTTGCAGGAGATTATTCTTAGTACCACCTTGTGATTGGGGGTCGGGGGTAGGTGCTGGGGGGAAGAGTGGATGCGATGGCGGTCGAAGGCCGGCGAGGATGGATTCCAGCGCAAAAAGATCCTGGCATTTGGCCGAGATCTCGGCGAGGGTTTTCTCGAGCGTGGGCAGCATGGACAGGGACCGGGATAGGGCGTTGAGGGACGACATGACGGCCGTGTGCATGTAGCCTTGCAAAGTGGAGAGGAGGAGCTCGGGCTGGAAGTCCGATGCCGACGGTAGGTCCTTAGGGATGGGCGAGAGGAGGTACAGGATTGTGGTGGCGGAGCCGAGTCGGGCTCTTGCATCGCGAGCTTGTTTGTAGCCTGACTGGGTGGACATGGTGAATCGATTGATCGCCTGCTGTGCTCTCGACTTCACCATGTTTTCTCCGGGGATGAGCAGTTCACTCCGTAGCGTCCGGATGACTTTGACTCTTTCTAATCCGTGACCTTCCTCTCCTGGACCCGTGGCTGTGAACATCCGACGGAGACTCACGATCGTAGACGCAGCGCGTTCCAGAGCGCGGTAATCGTCTCTGCCCGGAGAAGAAGGGGCCGGTCCATCGGCGAGCCCACCACGCCCGGTAACCTCAGCAAGCTGGCCCTCCAGCTGCCTGCCGAGAGTGAGACAGCGCGCAACTGCTCTTGAGAGCCGCACGGTAGCGAGCGACTTCTCTGCGGCTATCCTCACCTCATCGGCGGCCTCCCACTTCCGCAGGACCTCTTTCTCCAGCCGCTCGTACCCCTGGGTCACGGAGGAGACTTGTTCCTCGGCTTCCTTGAGGATGTGACCTGCCGCAGCGGTTTGATCCCGCGTGTGCGTCAGCAGGGGGAGGGCTGACTTGGTAGTCAGCGTGTGAATATGAGTATCGATCTCTTGTAAATCGAAGAGCACCCGTGACAATGGGGTTGACAGATCCAGCGGTGTGTCTGTCGCATTGTTGGTGGCTACGACCAATGAATTGGCAAAGGAGGCGGGAGAAAAGTCCGGGTCCAAGAAGGCCTCATAGTCAATGTATGACGGTTCACCTTCTGCCATGATTGGGTCCGACTAAGTCCCAGTTGCTTTTATTTCTCCAAGGTAATAACTGTCGTCAAGGTCGATTCAATATAAGACCAGGCAGGAAGAACGCAGACTAGGTAGTTAAAAGCCAATAGCGAGTTTGGGTATCGTAATAGATAGAAGATTGGCTGGGTAAAACAGCGTGTTTTCTCCGAGACACTTTCATACAACAGAAACTCAATACAGTAGACTAGCCATGCGACAGATCCAATGAATCGAGGCCACTGAACCAGGTCATGGTCAGCCAATTGCTTGTGGAGAGAGATCGAGTATGCGATGTTGCTGATCCGCTCGGAGGTCCATTCATGCCATGTGTCGAGACTATGCCTCTTTGGTCGCGGATTAGTCAGCTGTCTATACAGTTCTCTCTCAAGAGGAGGATGTTTTCTACTGCGCATCTAGGGCAACATATATGTATAATGGTATATACGTAAAGGATTTCATAATTGATTTGCTTAGATTATGTGGAGCTATGAGCATTAGGTCTTCTGAAAGAACCATTGGTTGTTGAGATGGGACGATACGGTTATTTGAGCTTTGTATATATTTCCAACATAACAGTATATACTCAGTCCGTTATTGTATATTTTCACCTTTCCCTAGGTTTCCTAGGACCTTCAAACAAATACCGTACATCCAACAAGTGACTAATTGCCCAAAAATGCCGTATCGCATCCTATCCACAACATACTCATGGAACGGTAAAGTAGAGCCTCGAAACAGATCTATTAGCCCATACCTCTTGAGATGTAGGGTCGATGATATTGTGGCAATGCAGCGGCTCCGTTTGTATAAGTTTGGAACATCGTACCCTAGACAGAATTAGATTGAATATAACGTTTAGCCTGAGAAGGCAATGAGGGATTGCGCATGCCAATAAAGGCAGACGCGGCATAAAGGCCTAAGCAGAAAAGTGATGCCCGACCAAACCACGAACAGCTCTGAGAAATGTATGTACACATTACGTATAAGAATATATCAAAAGCTATAATCACGCCGAGTGAATGCCATTCTCTCCATCCGTCACCGACCTGGGAGCTGCGCCGGTAACTCGTGAGCTGGAGCATCATGCCGACTCTCCAGCTCATACCGGTACCCCTGCCCATCAACTTCAACGGGCTGATTTGAAATATATTTGTAGTCATGAATTGGCGCATTCCCGCCTTGCATAGGTGCCGGCTGAGGCCGTGACCGGCGCCTCATGAACAGCCAAACGAAGGCTGCAATGAGAGCCACACCGGCGACACCACCGATAACACCACCTGCAACTGCACCCTTATCTACACCTGATGACGACGAGGAGGATGAGGATGTCTGGGTAGCTGCCGCGGAGGTAGTTGTAGCTGACGTAGTTGTGGATGTTGATGTTTCAGAGGTTGTCGCTGTTGATGAAAATGGTAGAACTATTTCATCGAATGATAAGCATTGAGATATCCTAGCATCCACATGGCGTAGACGAATACATGATATGGTGTGTGTATAAAACGTACCAGTCCCTGAGGAGATAACTTCTAACCTTGTATCCCGCTCACCAAATGAGTAACCTGTACCGGCACAGCCGTCAGTCTGTCCTGCCAGCGCGAATCCTATCGTATCGTGTGGACAGCAAAAATATCCCCCATTGTCATACAAATCCCATGTCGCATTCGCACACCTTGGTTCCTTCAGTAACGACTCCGTGCAATTTTCGCCGGTTGGGCAACAATCGATGTTGTAGGCGATAGGGCAGAATGTACCTCCTGGGCAGCAGCCACGAAACCCGCCAACGGTTTCACCACAGTCGGTCTCGGTTCGAAGGCAGGAGCCGTTCTTACGGACAGCAAAACCGCTGGTCATTTTGGCCGTTTCTGTTTACGAGAGACAAGGGAGGGATGTTGGTGAGATACGAGTAAGCGAAGAAAATGGAAATGAGCAGCGCCAAATAAGGCCTTTGCGGTCAACTTGTCAGTGGAGAACGAGCAGTATGCCATAAGCAACGGGCTCCCTTGTTGGAGGAGCAGTTTCATGCCCAGAAACCAAGGGATTCATTAAGATTATCTTACATTTAAGGGGCCTGGGGGTTCAGCGACCAATCACCAACTTATACTAAGGCTCCGGAGGGGGTTGAGCACCCGATAGTTATTCAATTGGTTTACTCAGCGTGGACCCTGAAAGGTCCGGGCTGTGAGGAAAAAAATGGTCTCCAACATTGTCAAGAATAGACCCTTGTTTCAATTAGGCAGTGATAATCATGATCGTTGAGAGAATGGGCGAAAATAGCGCTGGCCCTGGGGAAATAATGGGTCCTAGGGTAGGGGCCAGAGGCTAGTGATGGGGGCCGTTTCAGCCTCAATCTCTCTGGAGTAATCTAAAGGACTTTCTTAAGAATAGGCTCGTAGCCTCAAGTAGTTATTTAGAGGGTGTTGCTCATCGCTATATCATATCTCTCCCCATCACAGAAGAACCCGCCCATTGGTCTCCTCCACAATGAGGTCGAACTCAGGTTGGAATTCAGTATAAAAATGATGCTGTGATGGTCAGTACATGCTCTTCCGAGGTTGTCGCAATGGGGAAGCCATACCGGAGTCTGTACCGCATTGGCCGTATACTGAGCCACTTCATCATTGATGACCTTCGGTACCCCATTGGCAGCGGCCGCTTCAGCCATCAGCTGCGAATGACACGCGTGGTCCAAACTGGAAAGAAGGAAGGCTGCTTCATCTACTGTTCGACCTACGGTTAACAAACTGCGTACATCGTCAGCTGAATTGTACAACAAAACGGGGACCAGAAGCAGGTGATACCCATGGTTTTGCAAAATGCATGCCATGTTGTCCTGCCCTAAAGCCTTCGCAATCTGCTGCCCCTCTTCCTGAGCCAATGCAATTCCACCATGGTCAATATAGACACCTAGTCTACCATAGAAGTTACACGCGTCTACACCTGTCAGTCACTCTCGCCATATAAGGAGATATCCACAATCTGTGCAAGTCTTCGTACCTTGGGTGATCATCTCGATTCCCTTCCCAAATGCGCTCCACGTCTTTCCATAAACCCCGTGCGTATGCGCAGCAGCAACAACGTCCGGTCTGGCCTTATGGATCTCTGAATGGATCATGAATCCAGCCTCGTTGATGAGGGCCTGATTGCCTCCTTCGGTCACATAGCCATCCTGGTCGACAAGGACGAGATCGGAGGCTTTCATGGCAGAGAAATGTTTGGCGTAGGGGTTCATCCAGAAATGGTCTTTCAAAACAGGATCTGCGAGACACTGTTAGTATAGTTCTCGTGTCTCTACTATTGCTGTAAATAAGTAGCACTTGCCTCTCATGGAGATGTGTCCAGAGATACCTTCGCCGTGTCCATGCTTTCCGAAGAAACGGAACGCGGCCGCCATGTGCTCTTTCATCCATTTACGTTTCTCGTAGAGGTCTGTGAATACTGGAATTCCTGGTAATTTAAGCGTTCCATTACGGTCGCCACGGGCAGTTGCTTGGAAAACGGCATCCTCGACCGCAGGCTTCACATTCATGTTACTGTAGTCTGCAGTGGAAACGACTACCTTCTGTTGGGTAGTAGTTTCGGTTGCCGTTGAAGTTGACATATTTGCTTAGATACCTTTTCTATGGGAAAAACAAAGTCAAAGTTGATAGAGTAACTACTGGAATCTCCAGTCGCGACAATGCTGGAGATATTTATCTCCACCTTCAAGTCTTATCAGTTGAGGTGGAATGTGGTGCCCCCACATCCAGATAAATGGACCTCAAATCGTTTGGTTTTGATTGACCGGAAACGCCAATTCAGAGCGATTGCCATAGGCGCATATCGCCGACCGTACGGACTTTTGCCCGACAAGACGGATGTTCATGGAAGGCGCATTTTCTGTCTTCCTTGGGTCACGATTGGGTAGATTTGATACTATTCAGTAGTAGTAAATACTACTCTCTACATGTTTGGGACGTCCCATGTCCCTATGACGTGACGCCATCCCAAAAGGCCATAAAGATTCAATAACAGGATGTTAGATACCAATGTGCCTGCACAAGCCCTTGAATGTCGCCAGAATGTAAGACCATGAAATGTACACATCGGCAAGATGAGAGGATGATACTCGAACCAGAACGCCATCTATACAGGTGCCAACCAGCTAGGGTATACAAAAATTGTAAACATATAGAAATCCGCATGTAAGTCGGTCATGCATCAACGTCAAAATATAAGAGAAAGAGAGGGGAACCGGATACAATCGAAGAAGGGGAGACCCGAAAGAAAGCTATACCGCTTGCTCACCAACCCCCTTCATTTCAGTCATCTCATACTCACCATCTTCACCCTGCAAGCTGCGTTCCCGGCCTCTTCCTCTGGACGGACTGCCTCTATCAGCCGGCGGTTGAGATGAACTTCCAGATGACTGCCCAGCACTGCTACCAGCTATACCGCCAAAGCTGATCGGTCTGAGTTCCCGCCATTGGCAGGCCCAGATACCACCAAAGGTCATTAGAGAAGCACTGGCAAACTGAAGACCCCACCAAAGCAGGTTGGATGGGATGGAGTGGGTGTAAAGGGACGTCGCGAGAAGATGGAGGAAGTGGATAGTGAGTGCAAAGTCAGGAATGAGTTTGGACCGAACGACGAGGAGTAGAAGAAAGATTATCCTGTGACAGTTCGGTTAGCGGCGCATCCTTTTTACGAGCAAGGGAGGTGGGCAGCTCACCCCGCAAGACTATTCAACATCCACACCAACCCCAGCATCCATCCAATCGTGGTATCTCCTCTCAGTGAGTCCCAACTCAGAACCAAGTCTAGGGAAAATGGGGTGCCATAGACGAGAGTGGTAAATAAGATCAGGGCCGTCGCGGAGGCATAATAGGCAAGCTGTAAGATAGCAATCTTCCGCACGATCTTCAGCGGCGGGAGGTCTGTCCGAGCCCCCGCAGGAGGCCGTCGGCGCGGGGGCATGAAATGAGTGGTAACTGTTACACACTAGTTATAAAAGTCAAGGGATATTTCGCCGTGAGAAGAACCGGTGAGATGGTGAGTTCTGGCCGCGGAAAGACCGAGCATATACCCGATGCCTGCCTTTCCTTGGGGTTCTTCCCTCGTTAGTGAGGGATTGCAAGTGGATATGACAGTCGCGTCGCAAATATATTAAGACTGTAAAGAGAAAGCGATGATCTGTTGGGACATCGTCTGATGGGGGAAACTGAAGAAGTTGCTTCAGGTTACTGTGGCGCCACGAGCAGAGCCGCCAAGCGGGCAGAAAGGGACCGCAGATCATGCCGAACGGGAAGCGCATCTCCCAACTACGTCTTAGTATATAAATTTACTTGCGACGGTACCGTTCAGCCTACCTTGCTACTCCCACGCGCTTCATATTCGGTTCTTGATTCCAGCACCTTCCTCGCATCCCTCTCTCTAACTATCACTCGCCAAAAATCCCCAGATCACAATGGGCTGGTTACCGTGGTCCTCCGACTCGAAGAACACCGCTTCCGATGGAGGCCGCATAGCCCCCGATCGGTCCTCTCGACAAAAGTGCTGGGAGGGTCGTGACTTGTTCTTCTCCTGCTTGGACGATAATAATATCTTGGATGCGATCAAGGAGGATAAGGAAGCGCGACGGAAATGTGGGAAGGAGATTGCGGAGTTTGAGTCGGCTTGTTCAAAGGCTTGGGTATGTGCCCCATCTCAGTTTCGTCTACCGTGATGAGGGGTCGGTGGGCGTGAATCAATACATAGACAGTGTCTAGCCTTCCCAATTGTCGTTCCTCATAAACATCCTAGGCTTCCATTGGCTAGATACGGTACAATTGCTGACGATCAAACAAAACAGGTCAAATATTTCAAGGAAAAGCGGGTAATGGAATATAACCGAGACAAGACAATTGAGCGGATCAAGAAGGAGGATGCCGCCAAGGTTCAGGACTTGAAGGCACAGGGATGGAACCCTCGGTAGATGGATGGTTAGTTCGTTACTATGTTGGGAGAAAAAGAACTGGGAGAGAACGGGAGGGATTTATTCCAAGCCAAAAGGCTCTGTACTACATACCATGACTTATCAAAAGCTAATGCCACTCCAATCTTAATAATGTCCCGTGCCCGCATGAGCTCGATACCATTGGCCTTTACATATGTTGCACTGTATAGCGACTATTGAGAAAACCTCTGTAGGTCTGGATTACCGCATACTCAATGTTAGTATTATTTGTCCTTGTCATTACTCCAGCTGACCGCTATGCGCCCTAGTGTATCACAGTAACCGCCGGGGAAAAAACCATATAATCAGCACCGCGACACAGATAAAAGACACCGTATTCCCATGAAGATCTATTGTCCAGGTGTCCGGAGATTATAAGAATAGAGAAGAAAAATAAAACCATTGCACTCCTGTCGCAGTTACAGCGTAATAACCGAAGGAAAACGTAAATCAAAATCGACAACCAGGCCATATGATCGTTTCCGATGGCTGAAACCCCATGCCTTAGAAATACCTCAACCGATCGATCAAATTAACGCCAATGCCCATGATGTTCTGTAAAAGATGATAGAGCTCCGGAGAAAAGATGTCAATGAAGAAAAATAGGAAAGAAGATGAGTCATAAAATCATTGCTTCCATTTGCCCAATTGATTCATGATGTTCTGTACATGAGGACCAACGGTTGCCTGATTTTGCGCCTGTTGTCCTCCCAAGCCCTTGGCTAGCAGTGATATCAAGTTGGGATCAGACACCACTGGAGCATTAGGTGCTTGGATTGGGAACGGTTGCGGAGGGAGAGGTTGTTGTGGGTTCGCGGGAACAGGGTGTCGTGTGGCTGCACTCAAAAGACTAGCGAGATCTGCACCGGCATTGGGTGTTGATGCCGTGGTAGAAAATGGCTGTTGCGCAGTTGGGACGGCTGCTTGCCGCTGCTGGAGCGCACCCAAAAGAGACTGTAGAGTAGGTCCGTCGAGGGACGTGATTAGGTTGGCGATGTTGGGGGGATTAGAAAGAGCTGGCAATGGGGCCTGCGGCACAGGCGGAGGTGCCAGGGAAGGAACCGCAAAAGCTGGGTTGGGAGGGAATGGAGTAGGAGGCGCGCCGCGCTGCACTGACTGCGCATGGAAGACGATCTCAGCGGCAATGTTCGGCTCAACATCGGGATACTCTGATGAACTATTAGCGGGCCAGGCCTTCGTAAACAGATTGGTTGGACAGAAACCAAAACACTTACCATTAAATCGAACGTTGTCTGCACCCCCGCTTCGATCGAAAACCTGCAGAGGAATCTTCCTGGAGAACTGGTTTGGACGGGCGAGTCTCACCACTGCGAGAACACCTTCGTTGATCTGCCGTTGAACGGCCGCATTCAGTGGGATTCGGGGACCCAAGACCAAAACATCAACTCGAAGACCTCTATTGCGGAATGCATTTTCCACGTGGAAGATGAAGTTTCTAGCCAACTGATTAGCAAGAGACATGTCGCGAAGTGTTAGAACGCAAGACTAACCGGTCTACCTCCTCCAAGACGAGAATTTGCACCTCGGGGACATCTCTTGGAGCCCGTCTGGGCACTGGCAACTCTACATCACCTTCATACCCGCGGGCCCGTGGGCTGGGGCTGCGGTATCTTCGGTCCCTTGCATAGGGGGACCGGGATCGGCGTCGTTCGCGTCGATCGTACCGCTCTGGCGTTCTATCCCGGGACCGATATCCGTCCCTTCCGCGGAAGCCACGAGGGGACGGGGATCGAGGGGGAGGCCGATAGTCATCGCGCCTACGGTGAGTCGGCTCATCTCTGAAATCGCTAAATGGAACTCTCGGTGATTCGTATGGTCGGTCGTAGCGATCCGTAGGAGCTCTAGGGTTGCGACTGCTCGACGGTCCCCCTCTGCTGTATTCGGGAGACCTCGAACGCCTGGCCGGCGGAGCGCGAGAAGGTTCTGCAGGAGCTGGGCCTGGCCTCGTATTTCTCTGTGGCTTGGATATTTCAAGGTCTAGGAGGTTCCATTAGTCCGGCTGAGCAATTTTTGAAGTCTGGACAGCTGATACTTACGAACTTTGCGCCCCCTCACCACGGCTCCTTGCTCTACGTCGAGCGCTTGCTTGCAAGCTGGGGCCTCCAGAAACTGTATAAAGCCGTACGCCTGCTTGATAGATATCTGCGCTAACTTCCCGTACTTGTGAAAGATATGATACAGATCTCGCTTGGTCACTCGTTCGGTTGGAAGGTTGCCTGTTGTTTTTGGGAACATGAGAAGTCAGTTACTCCACTGCCAGAGTCCAAGATGTGATTCGCAATACTAACCGACAAATAACCTGGATCCCGCTGGGAAACGGTCCCAGAGCCCTTCTGTGACATATACCCTCTCATCATGTAGAAACTCGTCATACTTCTTTTGTACGTCTGGCCCCCAAGGGGCATCATCATCAGCGCTTTTAGATTGCCGAGGCTGCTGTCTATCCACGCGCCCAGCCTTATTGGACACTGGGGAGGAAGGTGTCTGCACTTCCGCCGTGGCTGGCGGGGACTGCTGAAAACTAGCCACAGGAGGAGGGGGCAGGGTGCTGACGCCCGAGGTGGTCCCTGGAGCGCCGGCAGCTGCCAAGGAAGGGAGGGCGGGGTTAGACTGGTAATTACTTTGCTGGGCAGAGTAGGAGGCTTGGGCGTTAGACGCATGAGGGGGAAGTTGATGATACGAGCGAATATCATCGCTAGGGTTATAGTTGGGATGGATGGAAGGCTTCTCCTGGGGTGGGGGACGAGGAGGCAAGCCCAGGGAAGATTGGAGAGCTTCATCAGTTGCTTGAGGGTCCGCAGAGGCGTCCCCGAAAGGAACGGCCTCAGATATTGCAGGGGCAGAAGGAGCGGTAGAGGAAGGGGGAAGATTATCGAGGAGGTTCTGGAAATCCACACCATCCTCACCAGTGTTATGTGGTCTGTTGCGGGTGTCTAAGCGATCCTGTGGAGCCGACGAAGCTGCCCAGGAGGAGGCTGCATGGTCTATTTCGCTCGCAATGGGAATGCTCTGTGAAGCATGGGGAGCAGAGGGAGGGAGATCGGGGAAAGGGTGATGAGTTATATGGGTGGCGGAATCTGATGGAGGAGCAGTGGTTAGAGATGAGTTTGGTTCGAAACCCTGCGCAGCAGAGGTGGTCGCAGTGGTCATGGAAGAAGCATATGCAGATTGGTCTGATGGCAGTGACGCATGGGAAGACGCAACCACGTTCTTGTTCATCGAACCATCGTCCGCCTGAAATGCACCAGAGTGGTGGTAGCTACCTTGTGTTTGAGTTTGGAATTGTCCTGGAGCCTGCACGGAGCCATAGTTTCCTTGCACCCCCCCAGACCCAGCATAATGGGCATAGTGGGATGGTAGATCATCATGCAGCTGGGCGCGGTGTTCAACAGCAGACTCGGACTTCTCATAAGTCGAAGTATCGTTGAAGACGGGGTCCATTTGATTCTGAAGCACCGGAATATTGGCTGGTTCCGCGATGTGTAGCGGACGAGGGCTCTCGGGAGTCAGGGTCTTGCCTCGAAAGTGAAGAGCTTCATCTGGGGAACCGGGCGTCATGTAGACCAAGGATGAAGAATTGATTCATCTACAAAACCACGCGAAGAAACGGTCCCAAGAGCCACAGGGGATTAGGGATTTTCCAAAATCGACCAAGCTAAGGTGGGGCTAATCTTGGGAAAAAAAGAACCGGGCCGTTTGGGAGCTCCGGAGGGCGGTAAAGGGAGGATAAAGATGGAAAATCAATGAGAGGAAGGAGAAGCACCACGGGGGATGAAGAGGAACTGGCTGTTTGATCTGTTTGACGAATAGTAAAACCAAGCAGACGAACACTCCCAATAAGCACGAGACAAACAGAAGGTAGGGAGGAGAAACCGAGCGAGGCCGATAAGAAATAATAATAACAAAATAACAAGGATAAGGCTCGGGTAGGTATATAAAACAAGGTAGGGAGGGAAAAACAAAAGCTCGGACGTATGTAATGGAAAGATCTAGTAAGTATCGAAACGACAATCCGAGGGGTAAACCCAGGGCTATGAGGAGCAGATGAAAAGGATCCTTCCGCCAATCCTTGATAATTAGTCAACAATCGTACTATTAAACGACGCCAGAATTAGTAGATGGGGAAGTTGTTGGTAGTGTATGGAGTAGTATGTAGTCGGCAGTAGTACAGTAGGGAGGGGAGGGGATCGGAGGGGGGCGTGGTGGGAACGAGGGCAAGTGACTCGAAAAAAAAAAAAACAAGCTAATGTACTCCGGGAGGGGTGACCAGGGTAACTGATGAAGATCCCTCTTTTAGTTGGAATCACACACACACGCACACAAATAAAAAATGTATTAATTAGTTCCAAATGGGTCGAGGAGTGTGGGAGGGTAAAAGGAAAAAAAAAATTCGCATGGCAAGACGGACGATGGAAGATTTCCATGTTGTAAAGTTACGGTTTGCGCACGTCAGCTTTACAATGCTGCACAAACTTCAAGCGCCTTTCCCTATCGGGTAGGGCGTTAGCGCGCAAGGTCTCCTCATGCCGACGGTATGACTGGATGGTTCGATTGCCAACCAGTCTTAGTGGCGGGTCAAGTCATGCTCTCAATGATTTCCCCTGGAACTGCTCGAAAGTTCCTTCATCATTCGTCAAGAGAGTTATTCTTAGAGTCAGGTCCAGACCCTGGTCAGACCGGAGTATCTCCGTCTATACTATAGCTGGATTCAGCAATCGACACTTGTCAGCACTTGTTATCCCTCATTTCTCTGAATTCTTTTGTACCTTTCAGGTACCCAAATTGTACCGAAGGGTGGATTACCTAAGAATCTTGAACTCCTAGCCACGTTACCACCTGGCGAGGGCGATCTGAAGGGGTTCTGTGCCGGTGGAAAGCCCGCGGAAGTGGATGGTACCCAGCAACGAGAGGATACCCACTACCTCACTTGACCTTCCCGATCGGCTATAGCGCCAAGTATCGGGTTCTTCAGTCTCAGAGCACAGCATCTTTCCCGGCAACTAACCTTCAAGCTAAGTCGGATTTCTAGAAGATCCCCATGCTTGTTACCGGTTAGTATCTCATTCTTAATTCAATGTCCGAGTTGCAGGTACTCAGTACTACGATTACTTCAACCACCAAGGAGAACATAACAAAAGAAACGAGATAACCTCCTGAAGCATAAATGAAAAGAATGGTCACGCTGCAGTTGTGTCCTCGGATAGTTCATTGGTTCCCCCTTCTTCGACCCTTCTCCGCTCTCACCGCAAGAACATTCGCTTCTAAACAAGCGGCCGCCACGGAACGCCTCCAAGACTCAAATGAGGATCTAGCCGCAGCTCGAAAATGGCTCACGGGACTCACTTTGAAAACCATCCCACGCCATATTTGTGAAATTTCATTTAGTCGCTCCGGTGGTCCTGGGGGGCAGAACGTGAATAAGTCGGTCGACCTCGTGTAAATAACCTCCGATCGTGTCGACCTATCACTAACTGGGCCTTGCGGATCTGAATAGGGTGAACTCAAAAGCTACTCTGAGAGTGCCTCTTCATTCTCTCTTACCGCTTGTGCCTCGGATTTTACACCGTCCATTGCGTTCATCACGATACTTCGCCGAGAGATCACAGAGTCTAGTCATACAGTCGGAAGAATCGCGGAAACAAGCCGCCAATGTGGAGTCATGTTACGAGAAACTGCACCTGTTACTTAAGAATACTGCAACAGATGCCATTCCTGGGGAGACGTCTCAGGAACAAAGAGATAGGGTATATAAATTGTACGTTTATACACGTTGCTGTATTGACTTTGTTTCCTTTTTACAAACACCCCGAAAGGCTTCAAGCTCACATTGTACAGGAAGAAGGCTGAAAACGAAGCCAGAATCAAGTCTAAGAAGCTGCACAGCAGCAAAAAGGGCAATCGGCGGGGTAGTAAATTTGATGAATGATTGACACAGCTAACTTTTATCTGAACCACCCATGTGCGATGATGAACTCCAATAGGCGCCTTTGCATGACAGCGGAGAAGTAGAAGGGTACGAACAAGAGCAAACGAGGAACTGCCATCTCTAAAGTGAGAGCACACGCTCCGCATTGCGGACCGTAGCAGTAATGGCTTTTTGCAGAGACGGATCCAGACCTTCTGCGTTCTCCAGTGGCTGCAGCCAGTTGATAACCTCCTTTGCGACAGCGGGGTCCTCGCGGTGCTCCTTAAATCGGGCAAAAGATGTAACCAACGCCCTCGGGAATTCGGGCGATGTGGGCTGGATTCCGGCGGTAGGAAGCCTGATATAGCAGATTTGCGCATGATGACTGGTAGGACTGGACTGCTGCAGCGCATTGACAACATGTTCCAAGATTTTCCGCAGACATGGCAAATCAGAAAACTCCACGGCCATGTCGAAGAACTCCCGACCGAATTTGGCATCTTGTTCAAAGTTATTCATTGCTGTATCGAATATGGCCAACGGGATAGCACCGCTCATTGCAGGTGTTGAGCGGAGATTCTCTAACGCCACTTGGTCCACTCCACTACTATCTCCAACGCTCGGATTGATATCTTCACCGGTGATCTGTGGTAGCGCAATCATGTCGGCGTTAGGATCTTCAAAGGAAGCATCTGACGTCGGCTTCGGGGCTTCAATCTCTCTGTCAAGACCCAGGATACGCTGCCGAGCAACAAGTTTGGCTGTATATATCAATTCCAGCTTCGCGTAGTGAACCCATAACTTCCTAGAGCTCTTGCAGAACCGTAGCCCACGTTGCATGTGGCTTCGGGACTGCGTCATATCTGCATGGTCATCCAAAGCATATTGCGCTGCATATATCCACAGATCCACGTTTGTTGGGTGTAGCCGTAGGGCATCTTCGAAGATCGTTGAAAGCTTTTTGAAAGCTTTCTGGGCCCTAGCATATTCAATGTATTGAATCCATAACCCAATATCGCCATGAAATTTGCGAGTTGCGCGATCCAGGATGAAGAAAATTCGCCGCTGCCCAGAATATCCCGCATTGCGAATACCAAGCCGCTTTACTCTTTTGCGTCGGAGGGTATCGAGATTCATTTCGTATTCTGCATACCGTACAAAGTCGGAAGGTTGAGCACCGCGAGCATTGAGTTTGTGCTCAAAGTCAGACCGTTTCTTGATGATTGCTGTGATCTCATCCTACTCAATGAAAACGTAGTGTCAGTCTTCCGCATACTCTAAGTGTTGTGCAGTTTGAGGAAATACCTTGCTAAAGATCTTCTTTCTCTCATACTCTTTCAGTTCAGGTACTGACTTTTCTAGAAAGAAGCGTGCCTTATCAGTAGCGGCAGACATGGTTGCGATTGTCGTTGCTGCAGGATACCTCTTTGAGATTAAGCAGCCATCAACGGAGTGATAAAAAAAGTTGTCGGCATCCCGCAAATCAAAAGCTCCGACCACGTCGAAGTGCTGTCCGCTTTCCTAACTCGAGCTAGCGCTTATTTACACCCGCAAGTTACCGAGCCTCAGTTCCATTGTCAATCATCGCATGTTCATCTGGCTCAGGGGCTCCTGACCATTGCTGTCTGAATTTCCGTTTGTTAATTTGTTCTTTCTTTTCATATTTTTATTCCATTCTTGACACTCGTTTTGTCCCCTTGATTGCTATTTATTCTCTTCGCTTCCCCCTTGTTTCGTCGAGTGGCCGGGGACTGGTCCGCCTGTCTTCTTTGCTGCCATGGCACCCAAATTCAAAGATGGGGATGCCGTTGTAGCGGTTAGTCTTGGCTATATCAAGAATTGAGGTACTTTGGAGAGTCACTGAACAATTGTTAGGTTAATGGGAAATGGGTGTCTTGGGCGCACACAGTCGCTGCCTATGCGGCCTTCCTGAGCGCCTTGGTAGTAGGAATGTCTCTGCATTTCAGGAAAATCGTGCAAAACGAACATTATGGCTATCCTGACGAATGGTTTCCGTCGGTGTCAGCAACGATCGGTGATCGCTATCCCGAACGATCCTTCTTTCAAGTTTTCATCGCTATCACCTCGGGACCTCGGTTTGCTCTAGTGTTCCTTTGGTACATTCTGACCTCGCGCCCCAACTCAGCTCTTCCTAAGTTTATCGCGGGCGTTGGATTGTTCCGGACGTTTACATGCGGTGGTTGGACATATGTTACATCGACAGACGACCATGATTGGCATGATATTTTCATGATCTCTTACCTCGTTGCGACGTTGCCCTGGACTCTTGGCTGCCTTGCGCTCAGTCCGAACAACCGTCGCGCTGTGAAGTACAGGAAGATCTTGGCGAGCTGTTTCTTCGGAACTCTTGTTCCATTAATTTACTATTTCATTCAGCACAAGGTGCACAAGGTCGCGGGAGGTATGTCTGTCGTTATATAGCTTCTTTAGTCCCTTGCTTCTAACTCTATTACTTTTAGCTTACACCAAATATGCCTTTTTTGAATGGTCTCTTATACTGTTTGATGTGGGTTTCGACGCTGTCACTGCACTCGACTTCGAGGCATTTGAGATCGTGGTCAGGGATGTCAAAGGGATTAGCAGAGGGTATGTACAGTGGCTTCCGAAGTAAACCAAGAAGAAAAATGTACGGTTGCCAAGATGTGGATGTTGGAATTTGAGAAGAGTGTTCTAAGGTTTTAATCTCCAGGCAGTTGAAGACCACTGCAGACTCCGTCCTCGAAAAAGAGTGTGTATAATCTACTCTCCAAGGCTATCAGAACTCTTGGCAATTAACTCGTAGCTAGGAAAGGAAAGCCTGTTGGAGCTACGTTCGGCGAAGGTTTCTTCTGGACAGAGATCATTGATGCCGCTGCAGATGCCTACAATATGGTAAACATTAGATTGGCCTCATAAGTGGACTTGATTACTGACCAAGTGTAGTTTGTCTTCTGGTCCTTGTGGACTGCCCTTGGTGTACTCGTCTGGTGTAAGTGTCTGCGAAAGTTTCTCCCACAATCCTCTGACAAAGTTAGACTTCCCTCTTTGGCATATGGGTATCTCTGGCTACGAGTTAGCCATCCTAAGCTATGTGTCTCCGGTCCTCCTGGTTATTCCTTCCTTGAAGTCTGCTGCCACGAGAAATCCTCGTCTTTTCCATTTTCTGTCACTTTCCGGGCTACTGGCGTATAAGGTGCAAGACCCTGCCAATAGACTTTTTATGACCACTTTCGCAGTTGCTTGCAGCTGTATCGCATGGTCTGCGACACTATATGCCGAGAGGGCAAACAGCTCTAGGCTGGAATCCCGTATCTTTGCATGGGGTATTGGTTTGATTATGTCGAGCATAGCTAAATTCGCATGCAAAACAAACAATCCCATCTGGCCGATTATGCATGCAGAGAATGGAGGATGGAATAAATTGGGACTTTTCCTTGGTATCCTGGCCGTCCTCAGGTCACACAGAAGGCCTCCAACTAATGGAGGAGACTACTTCCCCTCGAGCGGCAGGAAAGGCTCTTCGTTATTTGCCGCCTTTGGTATCGGCGGTCTGCTTTTCGCAATGCATTCCCTCCTCTCCGACTCCAGCACCATGATCGCTTGGGTCTGGGAGGGATATCCCGTGCGCGGCCCTATTGCAGTACCTCATGGTGCACTCACTATCCTTGCAATGGGTGCTGGACTTGTTTACGGTCTGTATTATCCCCGCGTTGCTGGAAGCTGGACTGCATATGGGATTGCGTCTGTTGGTGCGGCACTGCTTACTTGCTCCAGTCACTGGACTGGATTCTATGGTGGCCTTGTCCTTGCTTTCTACCTTCTTGCGATCACTCCAGTCTTGGTTTCGTCAGCTGTTCGCCATTCACTAGCTAAAACCTTTGGTATCGGTTTCCTCCTGTACACATTCCTGATTCTTTTCCATGTGTGGGTTGTTGCATACGCCTTTGTGCCCGGTGGGCCTCTCGTCAGAGAACACACCGATTGGATTATGATCACCACTATGTTATCTATTGGAGCTGGTGTCTTTTCTGCTGCTGTCACCAACTCATCCGGTACTAAGAGCAAGATTGTCAGCCCGAATGGCAAACGACAGCGGTCATATTTTATCTATATTCTCGCGACACTGCAGCTTTTTTCTATGGCTATTGCATATCTTCGCTTCCCTACAAACGACTATGTGCCATATCACAAAGAGGATAAGGTTGCGACTGTCGGCATTTGGACAGTTCACTTTGGTCTCGACAATGACATGTGGTCATCGGAACGGCGTATGCGCAATGTTATCCAGGAACTTGAGATTGATGTTATCGGCCTTCTTGAATCTGATAACCAGCGCATCATTATGGGCAATCGCGATATGACCCAGGTCCTGGCGGAAGATCTTGGCATGTACGCAGACTTCGGTCCTGGTCCAAACAAGCACACTTGGGGCTCAGCTTTACTTTCCAAATTCCCAATTGTCAATTCTACTCACCACCTCCTTCCTTCTCCTGTCGGTGAGCTTGCTCCGGCCATTCATGCCACCCTTGATATGTATGGCGAGCTGGTTGATGTTGTCGTGTTCCATTCGGGACAAGAAGAAGACCCGGAAGACCGCCGCCTCCAGACCGAATATTTGTCAAAGCTAATGGGTTCATCCCCTCGCCCCCTTATTTTGCTGAGCTACTTGGTCACAAAGCCATTGGAAGGTAATTACAATACCTACGTCAGTGAACTTAGCGGCATGAAAGACATCGACCCTACCGATTGGGACCGATGGTGTGAGTACATCCTCTACAAGAACTTGAAGAGGACTGGCTACGCTCGTGTTAGTCGGGATTCTATCACAGACACAGAGATTCAGGTAAGCCATGCCGTGTATGCCCTCTGCGGAGGGGAATCATCTCATCCTTGCTGACCAACTGCCGTGATAGGTTGGCAAATTCGTTATTGGAGAACCCGAGCCTGAGAACGAGATGCGACTGCCAGAGGAAATGGTGCCAGAAGGGCGTCGATTCCCGGGTTTGTTCCGCGGACAGGGAGTCCGCGGTCATCGTTATCATGTCTTTGATGAGCCCAGGTATTGGCAATGAATGCCACGTGGAACGGCCAGTGGATTCTGATTCATTCCCTCTCTGGGCGGCTCAGGGTTCCAGAGCCCTGGATTATTTGTATATTCTACGACGCGAAAAATTCACCCCTTTGATGGCTGGTTATTCGCGATATTTGCCACGACTATGTACTGTGAATCTCAATCAAACTGCTTTTCATAAACATTTCTATATTTAAGTTTTAAATAACTGCGGTATGTTCCTACTTTTGAAAACAGGAAGCCGTTGTTCAGAGCACATGAGACTTAAAAGCAGACTCTAAACGCATTGACTAGAGAACGTCTTGATATGGCCATTGACGTCTACCAAGACGAACTCATCCTGTGTTCTTCCATCACGGATCACAACCGAAGTAATCGCTTGGGAAAGTCAAACCTATCCCCGAACTGGGATGTGGAATGTGGAGATCATACCGTTCCTCCTTGGTGTACGTGACCGAGTACATATGACAAAAGTATGAGCTTCCTGAGCAGTAGCTTATGATTCTCCCATGACTCATCAAGGGAGGGGAGCTTGTTTCACTTTGTCTTTCGAACAAGGTATTCAGACCGTAAAACTTGCATTAAGCCTTGAATAAGCACATTCCAGCCCTGCAGACTCAACTGCTGATCTTCACGCCTCGAGCTGTTGCACATCGTATTCTCAATATACCCTGGAATGTGTGGTTCCTTTCATGATTAACATTTTAATCTTTGCTTATCAGCTAGCTTTCTGGCCCAATTTCAAAACACAGTGAAGCCCCGGGCACGAGTATCTCGTGAATGGCAAAGCTTTCTTTTTCTTCCTTGCACATATTTCTGCCCCTCATTAACTTTATTTTGGGACTTCACCTTAAAAAGCAGGCATAGCGATGCTTCTGCCTACTTGTGCGTGCTTCTTTCCATTTCACCACTTGTCGGGTTCCCAGAACGTGAACGTGCCCAGAAGCCGGTATTCTCGTGTCTTACTCGTGAAGACTTGGTGCACTTCATTTGTTTGGCTTATCTAGCTTTGATTTGTGAGTAATACGTAGCCAAGCGGAGGTACTCGAGTCCCTGTACTCCATCTATCTCTACAATCATTCCTAGATATGTCGTTAAAAGAATTTCTCGTATATCCGTGTTAACTATTTGCAGACCCATCTCCACCACGACGTATATTGAGAATATCCTGCCGTATAGTATATGAACTTTCGCCTCAACCATACTTTGTCATTTGAATCATATACAAGAAAGATTTTGGGGAATGTATGAGCCCCCTAGTCGAGGTTTCGTCACCCGTATAGGTTGGGACGACACAGCGAGCTGTCATATGGTGGACTGCACAAGATCCTCATAGCTACAATGTCGAAATCGCCAATAGAATCGCATATGCCAAAACCCAAGAAGGATATACAGCGACCCTCCGGCTCAGAAAGTCCGGAAGTTCAACATGTTGAAATGGCCTCTGGCCCTGGGGCGAGTTCACATTCAAACCCTATTGATCTGAGTGATGAATGCCAGCTCTATTCAAGGACACCTCTTCCTTCGCGTACTCTGGCCAATGCACGAGCTGCACTGCAACAACTAGTTCTAAGATCTAGATATGGTTCTTCATATATATTTGAAGGTTGTGGCTCGCATGATTCAATTAATCTTCCTCAGCCGCCTCCTGCTAGAGTCGTCGGTCAGTCTGGTGTCTCAAGTCCCAGAAGATCTTCTAGCCATAGCGCGGGCTTTGATGTAAGATGTGCTCAAGAACACGCGCTCCCAGAGATCTCATTCGGGGCCAATGCACCCATGCCACGTTGGCGAATCGAGCATATTCATCCACTACTTGCTCGGGGAAGCCCAACGCTGCGATGGGTGTTCGATTCTGGTACAGACTTTGCCCAATTCGGATGGTCAGAGGATATGATTTACGAATACGCATACAGGTGGCTTGAGGAAGCCCTTAACGATCCATCGTTTGGACTATACACGAGGTCCAACATTCTCGACGGACATGGCGAAGATCCGTTACCGACCCTCCCGCCAGCACCAAGTACATGCTATTTTCAAAGATGGTCTCAATCATCGAGAACCAGTGATAACTGGTACACGCATCCGGACTATGAGTCTTTACGGATGGCTTGGCCGATAGGTACGCAATCACAGTTCCAGTTCTATTTTTCGTTTAACTCCCAACATCAACACTTCAGCAAGGACAAAGCTGACGCCTCAGAAGCTCCTAAACAGCCGTCTCGAACTGAGCAGCCGTTTTCCGGATATCACGGAATCCACAACAATTATATGTTTGACTTTGAATCTTCCGAAGGCTGCAATGAGACAGATCTCGAGCTTGGCCGACATAAGTCGACTCAAATGTCGGGGGAAGCAACTATGGACGAAAACCAGTCAATGCAATTCAATGGATATAGATGGGTCTGGTTCAGCATCGCTTTTTTGGTATTGAGCATGTTTCTGTGTCTTTTCCTATATGCTTTTCGGATCATCAAATGATGTAACTTGTTGTATATTGCTTCGTTCTGATTAATCGATTGTGTTCCCTGCCGTGCCTTTGAGTTGACAATCATGTGGTGTTGAAGTCAGCGAGGAATGGGGAGCTTTAGACAATTTACTATGTATGCGAAACATTTATCGTTGTACATTCTTGCTTGAGGCGACGAGCCTCCTCCTCCTCCTACTAGTACTATTTTATGGCCACACTTCTGCCCTTAAGTCCCCGCGGCGAGCTGCCTTTCATCAGGGCCTCAAGTCCCGCAAAAGATATAGTGGAGACCTCCAGGCTGTATATAATCTTCAATAAAATACACCAGGTCATGTGAATATTCATCTTGCAAACAAGACAAACACCGGATCCGCGATGCTTCATCGGAACTCTCCAATCACCTCAATAACACGATTCCTCCTCAATGCCTTGAGTTTTAATCCATATCTAAGTGAGGAGAGACGTGATGTTATAATTGAAGTCTAATAGCTTTAATCATTCTTGTATTTGGATTGATGACTCGATTGGAAGCGCTGTACCGCTAAGTCCGAGACAAATCCAACTCCGTCGCCGACTTCGAGGTTGGCCGATGAGCGACGCCTAAAAACTGCAAAGATGTTTACGTTCACACCTTTGCTTGGCGCACAGTCGTCCTCCTCGAAGGCCTCTCAGTCAATCTTAGAGCTGGATGGTGGAATCAAAATCCTTGTGGACGTCGGCTGGGACGATACCTTTGATCCTCTGGATTTGCAGGAACTAGAAAAGTAAGCTCCGTTATATGATGACAAGACAGCTAGCTTGTCTTCCTTTTCGATGATCCTTAGTCTGATTGACTGTGGTAGACATGTTCCCACCCTTTCGTTGATCCTTCTGACCCACGCTACCCCTGCGCATATTGGTGCATTCGCGCATTGCTGCAAGACCTTCCCTCTTTTTACACAGATTCCTGTCTACGCCACGAGCCCCGTTATTGCGCTTGGTCGCACATTGTTACAGGACCTGTACGCCTCCTCGCCGCTAGCTGCAACATTTCTACCCAAAGCCTCGATTTCTGAGCCGGGCGCATCTACTTCTGCAGCGTCTGCCGCAGCATCCGTACCAGAAGGCGAAGGGGGCGCAGATGCTAGTCATTCCGGAAGAATCCTCCTTCAACCTCCTACCGCAGAGGAAATTGCCAGATACTTCTCCCTGATCCTTCCCTTAAAGTACTCGCAGCCACACCAACCACTTCCTTCCCCCTTTTCCCCTCCACTGAACGGCCTTACGCTCACGGCTTACAATGCTGGACACACTGTGGGAGGAACAATATGGCATATACAACATGGCATGGAATCGATCGTTTACGCTGTCGACTGGAACCAAGCACGAGAGAGTGTAATGGCAGGTGCTGCATGGTTCGGCGGGTCAGGCGCCAGTGGAACGGAGGTCATAGAGCAATTGCGCAAACCCACCGCGTTGGTATGTAGTACAAGAGGAGGTGACAAGTTTGCCCTTCCAGGAGGACGAAAAAAGCGAGATGACTTACTATTGGATATGATTCGGAGTACTATCGCCAAAGGAGGCACTGTTTTGATTCCCACTGATACCAGCGCTCGAGTCTTGGAACTGGCATATGCGCTGGAGCATGCGTGGCGCGATACTGCTGGAACAGGGCAAGAGGAAAATGTGCTAAAGGAGGCCGGACTATACCTCGCAGGTAGGAAGGCTAACACGACGATGAGGTTAGCCCGGAGTATGTTAGAGTGGATGGACGAGAATATTGTGCGAGAGTTCGAGGCCGCGGAAGGTGTAGATGCAGCAACGGGTCAATCTCGAACTAATCCCGGTGGTCAACGTTCTGGCCAAAACCAGGGCAAAGAAGAGAAAGGCACCGGTCCTTTTACTTTCAAACACTTGAAGATCGTCGAGAGAAAAAAGAAGCTGGAGAAGATTTTGAACGACCAGACACCCAAAGTCATTTTGGCTTCCGACACGTCACTGGACTGGGGTTTTGCAAAGGAATCTCTCCGCCTGGTAGCGGGGGGTCCGAACAACCTTCTCCTACTCACTGAGTCTTTCCATAAGGAGAGGCTTGCCGACAACCAGGAAGATCTTCATCGGAAAACTCTGGGTAATATGATCTGGGAATGGTATGAAGAAAGGAAAGATGGTGTCGCATTGGAGAAATCTTCCGACGGTGAGATGATTGAACAGGTTCATAGCGGTGGTCGAGAACTCTCCTGGTCAGACGTTCATCGTGCACCTCTAGACCCTGGTGAACAACTACTCTATCAACAGTATCTTGCCACGAAGAGACAATTACAAGATACTTCCCAAGCGAGGGGACAGGAAAATTTGGATAATGCAGCGGATGCGCTTGATGACCGATCTAGTTCCACATCCGAAGACTCTGAGACAGAACAGCAGGGACGGGTCCTAAACTTCTCAACTTCATTAGCTCATTCCAATCGCAACAAACTCGGTCTCAGTGATGAAGACCTTGGTGTCAATATCCTTTTACGGCGGAAGAACGTGTTCGACTGGGATGTCCGGGGCAAGAAGGGCCGCGAACGAATGTTCCCATACGTAGCGCCCAGAAAGAAGGGAGATGAGTACGGAGAATTTATCCGACCTGAGGAATACTTACGAGCAGAAGAGCGTGAAGAGATCGACATGCAACAGCGCAGATCTGACTCTCAGACCAAGCTTGGTCAGAAACGACGATGGGATGAGACAGGACCGGGCGGGCGTCGGTTGTCTAGCAGCGGGGCCAAACGTCAACAATTTCCTGGAAAGAAGGACGCCAGCACAGCGGACGATATGAGCTTGACAGAGGATGGAGAAGGTGCCGATGCTGCCCTGGAGTCGGAAGATGAAGCAGATGGTCAGACGTTCGAGGGGCCCTCCAAAGCGGTCTATCAGAAGGCTAGTCTCACTATTAATGCTCGTATCGCTTTCGTGGACTTTACGGGATTGCACGATAAGCGGAGCTTGGAGATGCTGATCCCGCTCATTCAACCTCGCAAACTGATTCTAGTGGGCGGTATGAAGGAGGAGACCACGGCCCTTGCAACAGAGTGCAAGAAGCTCCTCGCAGCCAAGGCTGGAGTTGATGTCTCCGCTGCGGACTCTGCTGTGATTTACACCCCGGCTGTTGGAGAAGTTATTGATGCTAGCGTTGATACAAACGCCTGGATGGTCAAGTTGAGCAACAGTCTCGTTCGGCGCCTGAAATGGCAGCATGTCCGTAGTCTTGGCGTGGTGACATTGACTGCACAGCTGAGGGGTCCTGAATTTAATCCCCCAGAGGACGCAGCGGACTCCCCAAGTAAAAAGCAAAAACTGTTGCAGGAAGAGGCCAGTTCACAAGCTACGGCACCTACCGTCGACGGCACTAAACCCACAGCAGACAAGTCTGATGTCTACCCGGTGCTTGACATACTTCCTGCCAACATGGCAGCAGGAACGAGATCTATGACTCGCCCTCTCCACGTGGGTGATTTGCGACTGGCGGATCTCCGCAAGATCATGCAGGGAGCCGGCCACACGGCCGAGTTCCGTGGTGAGGGAACTCTTCTCATTGATCGGATGGTCGCGGTCCGCAAATCAGGCACAGGAAAGATCGAGATTGAAGCTACGGCTCAATCAGCTGCTGCTGTAGGACGTGGGGCGGGAAGCTTCCTGGACGTGAAGAGGAAGATTTACGAAGGACTGGCTGTTGTTGCGGGTAATTAACTGTAAACTAAACATTATACCTATACCTACTACATTTGAGGCAATCGGAAACCCCGAAGATCGACATTGTCCGACGTAGCAAGTATAAAGAATCAGAACCCCAGCCCACCGCCAAAAGGAAACGTGAATGTAACCTAAGCCTATGTAAAAGTTCTCTAATTACTGAAGGGACGTAGAATAAGCAACATCCACCGTCCCATAACCACTACCCAGATCCTCAGTAGATACCTCTTGGATGTGATCGTCTGTTCGAGGGCCCTTGTATATCCTAGGTAAACAAGCGCACATACGTCAGTCTCCTATCCCAACCCATGACCAAACCAAAAAGAAAAAAAAGAGAAAGAAAAAAGAAAACATAAATTTTCACTTACCCCCGTGCAGCAACCCACCACCATACCAAAGCAAAAGCGGCAATGAATGCGCCAACACATATACCGTAATTCCTAGCAACTAAGTCAACCACCACCCACATCACGACTCATGTACTGTTCCCAGGCACAACATCAGAAGCGGGCACAAAGAACATGCAACTTACATATTAGTAACTGTGATAGGCACACGAGGCGGGAAAAACAACACCGCACTAATGAACAGCACCCAGATCACAGACACCCAGTTGATAAACGGACCCCATTTACCCAACGTGAAGGGCCCCTCGATGAACTTGACTCTGTTCCTGTAGATCCTGTGCGCTAGGATTACGGATATATAGGATATGTCCAGTGCTGGGGCAGTGATGCTGAAGATCGCCGTGGCGGTTTCGGTCGAGCCAATGGCAATGCAGTTTAGGCAGATGCTGAAGAAGACGACGAACCAGACGGCGTTGACCGGCGTGTGAGTGTATTTGTTCACTTTGGAGAGGGTGCTGGATATATATGTATTAGGAGCCTTGTTTTTCCCAGGTCAACTTCTTCGGTGGACACGTACGAGGAAAATGGAAGCGCTTCGTCACGGGCGAAGGCATAAGCCATCCTTGTATCTGCCAGCATGGCTGAACAGCCGGTGAAGAACTGGACTAGGATTGCGAGACCCCACATCAGTGTTCCTCCCCTTTTGCCTCCTGCGTTGAGGAAGATCTGGGCTGCGGGAAGCCCGGTGGGGCTGTTGAGGATGCCTTCGAAGTCGCTCAGACAGAAGCACATTGAGACGGTGAGAATCCAGCCTAATGCGCCGGAGACGAAGACTGCGGTCTGAATGGCTATAGGTCCCAGAGTGGCGGCGTCGTGGGTTTCTTCGGACATGCTTGTTCTTGGTCAGTTGTTGTTGTTGTTGTTGTTGTTGTTGTTGTTGTTGTTGTTGTTGTTGTTTTTTTTTTTTTTTATTTTCTTCTTGGGGGAAAGCAGTGTAGAAACGCACTGGGTAGTTCCGTCATAATCTGTCATTGTCCATGCGACAGAGATGAATCCGAGCAGGAAGGAAAAGAATTTCGAGCCCCATCCTGAACCGTCGGTGAAGTGGGTGAAGACCCAACTGGCTGATTGTTTGTCGGGCGTGTAGGCGAGGAGCACAATGCAGATGATAATCGTCGCGGAAACTGTAATTGTCAGAGCCAACTTGACAAGTATGATGGGCATCGTGCATACTGTTGATGGGAGCAAACCAATATACTATCCGATGCAAAGTCCTGGTTGTTAAGGAGCATATAGCCCCTAATATACACAAGAGAAGTATGGATAAGAGAACCGTTTCCAAAGCGGTTCTGTATAAGTTAGCTCGAGGCGAAGAGCAGGAAAGATCAAAGCATACGGTGAATATGAGTATCTGCCATCGACCAGCTCCGAGTTCATGCTAACGCAGGCAAGTAGCATCTGACTCACAGTGTAGACAACACTGGACACACCAGCAGTTTGACCGAGAAGGTTGCACCAGCCTTGTACCCAAGAAAAGATAGGCACTTGTTCTTCCGGGACAACGTGCTTAGTGACAAAGTACATTCCTCCCGCTGTGGGATACGCAGAAACTAACTCTGCCACCGAACTGCCGATACACATCGCCATACATGAGCCAAAGAACCAGCACCATACGGCTGTAGCTGGGCCACCTGCAGCCAGAGGAGAACCAAAGGTTGCGGGGACAGATCCCAGGATACCTAGGATGGAGATGGCGTAAGAGACCGTGGACCATTTGGAAAATTCTCGGCGCAATTCCTAAGGGGAACAGGGATTAAAACTTTACTAGAATATGTCTGGTTTTGATGTGTACCTGTTTATAGCCAATTCGAGCTAGAAGAAGCTCGTCATCGTCGCGAATGCTCGCCATTGAATGAGACACTGACGAAGGATATAGTGTAAATGTTTCTTTGCTTCTTCGTCTTTTCCAATGAATACTGATAAAATAGCGTAGTAAAAATTATAATGAGGTTATAACATAAATCGCTGGGAGATGACCGCACTTTAAGGACAATTTTGATATAGCGCGTGTCAATGGACGAAGACCTGAATACATTGAAGTTGTGTCACAGTTGCGAAGTGACGGTGAGAAAAGCCCCGCCGATCTAAAACAGCGCCGACATGGTCTGACATATAACGGCAAGCTCACGAAGAATTGCAGGTCACAAGTAGCACAGTCCAAATAGCTGTGTCTACCAGAGGAATGATTACACCGGAGGCAGGAAGATGAATTATTCGGTTTATATCGGAAGAAATTCAGAGCACAATGACTCGGCCAGGGGCTTATCGTGGCATTGCGCAATATTGATAAGCCCAGTAAGGGAGAGAGACCATTCGGGATGACTACCCTCGGAAATTAATCGAACGAATCAATCCAAGGTATCCATTGAATTCACCCATTCATCTCTAGACTCACCAATCTTCTATTCTTTTGGGTTGCGATTAGATTGATTAGGGTGTAGTATGCCCCGTGCCAGTTTCGGAACAACATATGTCCGTCGGCTTCAGATTAGGTGGTCAGTTGCTTGATTGGGTTAACGGATTTGTTTGGATATACTCCGTACTTGTCGCCCTTTTCGCCCAAACTCCGTTCGGTGATGGTTCGGTGCTAATCGGTCGTGGGCTGTGAAAGACCTACCTTCCTCATTCTTCCTTCCCTGAGTCTGTTCATAAAATTATGAAGCACCATGGCAGACCAATCCATGTATAACACTCTCGGTCAGGGAACCGCTCCCGCTGAAGACCCCTCGAATCCGAATCGAATGGCTCACCAAGTTCCTTCACAATCGCAACCTGCTGCCGGATTTCCTCCAGGTCTTTATCCTCCTCAGCCTGGTGCCTACTACGGGAATCCGCCTCCAAATCAATATGGTGCACCACCACCACCAGCAGCAGCACAGCAGCTGCAATCTCCACCTCCGCGGGGCCTGGCACCTAGTCCTCAACTCGCCTACGGTACCGAGACACAGACACATATGGGAGCCGCTGCAGATCCAATGGCAGGATTGACTTCGCAGATGAGTGGCTTGGGAATAATGGGAGATAGCGGTGCCCGGCCAGGAAAGAAGAAGCATCGACATGCGCATCATGAAATTGGAGGAGCTACTGCTTCGGCGCCTCAGCAGTTTGCCGGGATGCCGCAGGCAGGCATGCAGCCTTCATCTCAGTTCCTGAATACTGGGTTAAACCAGGCACCACGTCCGATCTCACCCGCCGCTGGTGTTCCGCCAGCGGGGATTGTCCCTCAGCCAGGTGTTCCAGCCACAGGCTCTGGCTCTGTCCCTACCCAGGGCAAGATTGATCCGGAACAGATTCCAAGCATCCCCCGGTCTCGCGACATACCGGCACTGTACTACTTCAGCAATATCTATCCGACGATGGAACGGTATCTGCCCCCTCCGGCAGCTGTGCCCTTTGTGGCTCACGACCAAGGGAACTCATCCCCTAAACATGCCCGACTGACGTTGAACAACATCCCCACCACCTCCGACTTCCTCTCTTCCACCGGTCTGCCTCTAGGAATGGTTCTACAGCCCCTGGCTCGCCTCGACCCCGGCGAACATGAGGTCCCAGTGCTCGATTTTGGCGAAATGGGTCCTCCGCGATGCCGGAGGTGCAGGGCGTACATCAATCCTTTCATGACGTTTAAGTCCGGAGGAAACAAGTTCGTCTGTAACATGTGCACCTTCCCCAATGACGTGGCACCGGAATACTTTGCTCCTTTGGATATGTCCGGGGCGCGTGTTGACCGTCTGCAACGGCCGGAGTTGATGACGGGCACAGTTGAGTTCATGGTCCCGAAGGAGTACTGGAACAAGGAGCCCGTTGGTCTTCAGCGGCTCTTCTTGATTGACGTCAGTCAAGAATCGGTGAACAGGGGTTTCTTGAAGGGGGTGTGCAAAGGAATCACGGAAGCTTTATACGGCGCACCCGATGCTTCTGAAGAGGATGCAGCTGCGCGACGAGTGCCTGAGGGCTCGAAGATTGGTATTGTCACCTATGATAAAGAAGTGCACTTCTACAATCTCAGCGTGAGTCCTCATGTGCCTAAACCCCACCACAATATACTTACAATACCCAGGCACAACTTGATCAGGCACAGATGATGGTGATGACGGATTTGGAGGAGCCATTCGTTCCTTTGAGTGAGGGCCTGTTTGTAGATCCCTATGAATCAAAGTACGCAAGTAATCCTGGCACGGTTTGACGAATACAGATCTCTAACATCTACTCATAGGGATATCATTACGTCTCTGCTACATCAAATCCCCAAGATGTTCTCACACATGAAGAAACCTGAACCAGCTCTGCTCCCAGCTCTCAATGCGGCAATGTCTGCTCTGCAAGCTACCGGTGGAAAGATTTTTGCGTCTATATGCAGCTTACCCACTTGGGGCCCCGGCGCGTTGCATATGAGGGACGACCCTAAAGTGCATGGCACGGATGCGGAACGGAAATTATTTACCACAGACAACCAGGCATGGAGAACAACTGCTGGAAAGATGGCCGAACACGGCATCGGTGTTGACATGTTCGTGGCGGCACCTGGCGGGACGTATATTGACGTGGCTACGATAGGTAGGTTTTCTGCGATTTTATTGCTGCAGAATATAGGGGTATTAATGCTATTTAGGCCATGTCGCCGAAGTATCAGGCGGAGAAACATTCTTCTACCCCAATTTCCACGCTCCGCGAGACATTCTGAAGCTTTCGCAGGAGTTTGCACATGCAGTTACTCGCGAGACAGGCTATCAAGCAATGATGAAAGTCCGTTGTTCCAACGGTCTCCAGGTATCAGCGTATCATGGTAACTTTATACAACATGCTCTCGGGGCGGACTTGGAGATCGGATCCATTGATGCCGACAAAGCGATTGGTGTCATCTTCAGCTATGATGGCAAGCTTGACCCCAAATTGGATGCACACTTCCAAGCCGCCTTGCTGTATACTACGGCCGAAGGGCAGCGACGGGTGCGCTGTATCAACGTGGTAGCAGCAGTCAATGAAGGAGGGTTGGAAACGATGAAATTCATAGACCAGGACGCTGTTGTCAGTATTATGGCTAAAGAGGGTAAGTCAACTACCCAGCGCTGTTTTTCAGAGCAGACGTGCTGACAGTTTTAACCACAGCGGCTGCCAAAACCGTGGACAAATCGCTCAAGGACATTCGGGCCAGCATTACAGAAAAGACCGTGGACATCTTCAGCGGCTATCGCAAGGTCTTCTCCGGGTCACACCCACCCGGACAACTTGTACTCCCGGAGAATCTCAAGGAGTTTTCCATGTATATGCTGGGCCTGGTCAAATCACGAGCATTCAAGGGTAGGGACGGCTACATCCGGGTTACACGTGAGAGTGGCTAACTTGAATACGCAGGCGGCCAAGAAGCATCGGACCGACGGATTCACGACATGCGGATGCTACGCTCGATTGGGGTCACAGAACTAGCCCTGTACCTGTATCCCCGGATCATTCCGATCCACAACATGCAACCCCAAGATGGCTTCCCCAATGAGCAAGGACAGCTGCAGGTCCCACCGTCCCTTCGAGCCAGCTTCTCTAAGATTGAGGAGGGTGGGGCATACCTCGTGGACAATGGCCAGATGTGTCTGTTGTGGCTCCATTCCCACGTATCACCCAACCTGCTGGAGGATCTCTTTGGACCTGGGCAGTCGTCTCTCCAGGGACTCAACCCCCAGACGTCGTCGCTCCCTGTGTTGGAAACCCATTTGAATGCGCAAGTGCGCAATCTACTGCAGTACTTCTCGACTATCCGAGGGTCCAAGTCAGTTGCGATCCAGTTGGCTCGCCAAGGGTTGGATGGGGCCGAGTATGAGTTCGCAAGGTTACTGGTGGAGGACCGCAACAATGAAGCGCAGAGTTACGTGGATTGGCTGGTACACATTCATCGGCAAATCAACTTGGAGCTGGCGGGTCATCGCAAACGCGAGGATACCTCTGCCGAGGGGTCGTTGACCAGTCTTGCCGGTCTTCGGGCTCCATACTGGTGATCATATAGACTACCCCGAATTTCATTGTTCCGTTGATATTCTTTACTTTGTATTTTGGTCGCTTTCGAGTGAGAGTTACGCGCTAGTATACCACAGAGGTTGATGTTCCCTGGACCGTATTTCTTGGAGCGAAATTTAATTGTTAAGGCTTTGTTTCATCACGAGAACAACAAAAAGAGCGCTGTAGCGAGGGGTTAACACAGTGGGACCAGCGGCGATGATCCCTGCAAAAGTCTAGAACGCCGAACCGAACTCCCAAAGAATAATAGACTACACACTAGTCGAACGATGATGAGTCCACGGTGAGATCGTCACGGAAACCTCGGCGACTAAAAGAAACGGTTGTGGTGATAAAGGCAAGTCAAGCGCTTGGCGAGGAGTGGATCAGCAACCGGTTTTGATGGTCTGTGTGTAAGGCGTGGCAGTATCTCGGGAAGAGAAGAGAGAACGACAAGAAAAAAAGTCCCTCGAGTGCCATGACTTGTCATCCTTGGACAGCTCGTCGTCTTTTCCCTTTCAGCCAAAACATCCGTCCTCGCCAAGGGTGTCATGGAGGCCATAAAAACTTGCACATGGCGACGCCGTCTTTGCCGGCAGGCGGACCACAGGACAGAGATTGAACCCTCAGTGAACCCCTCGTTTTCTCTCCACACAAGACCAATAATAGGTGAGGCGAACCATGGGAACCAGCTTAGAAATGTAAAGAATTCTCAAAGGAGTTCCTTACTCATTCAGGAAGCTTTCTCGAATGTCACGGTCTTTGTTCGGAGGGAAATCCGTGGTTGTAATCCTTTTTTTGCCTTCGACGGAACCAGGGTTAGGGCTGGCCGAGCGTATTACCACTTCCTCTGTCTAGTCTGTGGATGGCATTCCCACAGGATTCTCCGACAAAATCTTTATTTCCACGCGTATCGCTCGCTCAGCCACGACCTAGGGTTTTTCAAAGAAGCGGGTGGATCAACGAGATCGAGTGGGACGCGCTGATTCCATCAGGATTCTGCCCAAGTCTGGATTTTGAAGAGTGGAAACGGAAGTGTGGGAGGGAGAATGGAGCCGATGGCAAGTGCACCCATTGTGGTTCTCCACTACTCATTACTCAGTACAGGCTGTATGCATGTAATCATTGTCAGCTGCAGTGTCGAACCCCTCGTAGTAAGTAGATCGGGTATGAATCTGGACGGTGTGAGCTGTCGCACCGACAGAATCTAATCTTATTCTCAGTCGATGAGTAGAGCATGGAGGACAGGACCTGTCAGCGCGACTGCTATTGCAACAAGTCTGCGGTCGTGGACGAGTCACAATCGAGTCCCCAAAGTGACGGCAGTATTTCCCGTTGTACAGTGCCGGAGTGTCGTTTCATTTTCCACCAGATTCCCTCCACGTTTGGGCCCAGTAGCCCCCGTGGCGTCGAAGTTAAACCATGTATCCGATGTCAGGTACAACCTTTTTCAACGTCATGCCAGCGAACCAGAGTTAGTCCCCTGAATGGACCCATATTACAGTCTTGCTTGGGTACTCATGTGGATCATTTTTCTCTGTTCTTTTTTCTTTCTCTAGAGTTTTCTTATCGTTCCAGACTTTACCAGTCTGTCAGGTACCGAGAGTTGGAGATCATTGCCGCCATGATGCCTTCCCCCAAAGATATATAAACCCTGACGAGGTCCATCCTAAATCGTCTCTTCTCCTTCTTCAACCATCGACATTCTCTTATACATTCTCTAGACAAGCTCTGTCTGTCCTTCCTTTCGAGATCGAATCTCGTCCTTCTTTTACCACCCACTTCAAAAAAGTTCCTTCCTTGCGTCTGTAGAACAGGCCCAGTCAATCTCTTGACTTCAAAAAACTCAAAAAACCTTCCAACCAGCACAATCTCATCACAGTCTTTTGTCTTCTTTTCCAACTCATTCAAAATGATGTTCAGCAAGACTATCACTTTGGCCGCTCTTGCCAGCCTCACTGCTGCTCTCCCCACTGCCAACCCTGTCAAGCGGAGTGGCGGTGTCAACATTGTCAACAACCTGGGTGAAACCGTTTACGCGTGGTCTGTTTCTGATAGAGTCAGTAACATGCATTCCCTTTCTGCGAACGGTGGCAACTACCAGGAATCCTGGCAAACCAACGACAACGGCGGTGGCATCTCCATCAAGTTGTCCAACACTCAGGAGCAGTCCAACGTCCTCCAGTTTGAGTACACCCAGTCCGGTGACACCATCTACTGGGACATGAGCTGCATCGACCTCGGCGGAGACAACGTCTTCACCAAGTACGGTTTCTCCGTTACCCCCTCCACCACTGACGGCAACTGTCCCTCTGTCAACTGCGCTGCTGGTGACACTGCCTGCGCCGAGGCTTACCTCAAGCCCGACGATGACCACGCTACTCACGGCTGCCCCATTGACACCTCCTTCAGTGTCACCATTGGCCTCTAAGCATCTTTTTCTCTCCTTTCAACGAGATAAGATGACTTCACTACGCTCCTTTTTGCTACATCGATTGCTTTTGCTTTCACCAATGGTGACCATCTTACGGTGAATATGATTCCCACGACGAATATGGACAACGGAGTTCGGTATGGTTACGGGGGAAATGGGAAAGAAAAAAAAACAACTCCAAATTGACTTGCTTGATGCAAGATTGTGATACCACCATGACAGAGCTGACTCCTGGATGAGTGTTCACTCTCTTTTGCTTTTTTCACGACTTCATGTATCTAGGATACAGGAGTGATTTGATATCACGATCACGAATTCCACGTGGGACTAGAAATTACCTTACTATAGAAATAGACCTTTTTTTCGAATTTTAAAAAGTTTCTCGCTTTTATTTCTGGTTTTGTAGTAGACTTCCTGGTCCCTTTTTTCTCTCTTACTAATTTAGTAAAAGTGATGATGAATTGATCCTTAATCGATGATTCTTTGATTTCAATCAGAAATGGAAAAATCAGAGCATGACACGTAGTCTCGCAGTTCATCAGTCCATGACTCACAGACTCCCCAGGATATCCGGGAAACTCTCGGCCACCGACCTCGTTCTCTCATCGACTTCCGGCCTGAACACTTGTTCAAATCACATGGGTTTTCACTCGCCAATCCTACCGAACCCGTATACCGGGGAACCGGGAAGGACGGACTAGGGTGCTGTGCTGTGGTTTCTCTTCCCTCTTTTTTTTTTTTTTTTTTTTTTTGCCCTTTCCTCTCGCCTTACATCCCTCTCTCCAATTACAATCCAAGGAAAGTCCGGCAAAGAAAACCCAGACTAAGACATCGAACGTGAGGGAATTACAAGTCCACTACCTAAAGGAAGGTCTAAAGAACAGCCACAGTGGGGGTGTGTACGCAGTATCCACAGGGGACCCTCTGAAAACTGTTGACCATCTCAGATCCAAAGGGCGGTTTGACGCTTGTCCAATGATCAATCAGCATTGAGGGCCCTGGACGCAGAGCTTATGTAAGGTACCACACCGTCAAGTGTGGTTTGATTGGCTGAATTTGGGTGGGGACACACTGAATTGTAAAGTGGTTGGCATGGCTTGATTGGCTGGGTGGTGAATGGGAATTGTTCTGTGATTGGTGAACCTGGGGATGGTTCTTGTCAGCTACTGCTTTTCAAAGTTGTGGTGAGTTCAAATTTCAATGGAAACGTCGCAGGCGTGTTTCAAGTGTTGTTTGAGGAGGAGGGGTTCAGGGCCTTTTGCAATTGTGGGATAGATATGGGCGAAACTCATTTCTTTGATTGATTGTGAGTGTGCTTTTTTCCAGATTATCTGGCTGTTTTGCTGGATGTTGTTGTGCTGTGCTGCCTTGGGGGGGGTTGAGCACAGACGGCAGAGTCTAGACCGTTGTGCATGACGAAGAAAATGGCTCAGTGGCAAGAAGTACTGTCCTTTTTTTTTTTTTTTTTTCTTTTTTTTGTTCTTCTCTTCAAATGGAATTTTTCTTCTCGGAGTACCACGCTTGAGCATGTACCGAATCTCGCTGACTCTAATTCGTCCTACACACTCGCAGATCCATCGCTCGGGCGTCGACCGAATACTTCCGCGGATTCATTCTCATTGGATGCGTGATATCATATTCTACTACCAGTCAACTTACTAACTGTTATTTCCTTTCCCACCGCATCCCCTTCACCAGCCCGTAAGCAACCACCCGATAAATTATCGTACAAACACCTAAGGCCATCACGTTCATCGCCCCGTTCTTGTCCAGGTTGTAGAGCCGGAGCACCTGCTGTCCGTTCTGGATTGGACAGCTTCCATCCGCCAATCGCTGGGCCGCCGTACACACGAACTCTTGGTTCCGCATAGCATAGGACGCCAGGTTGGCGACGGCATATTTGACGGGCGAGAGGTGGTTGAGCCCCTGGAGGACCTCGTTGACGTTCAGACTCATGACACCGCCTAGGATGTTCGCGATGGAGAGCAAGATTGACGTCACGTTGACTGCGAACCCAACGTGCGAGAAGAGCGTGCAGAACATGATGCCCAGCGACTCACCGCAGCTGACGATGCAGAAACAGTTGTACGCGCAGATCAGGAACATCGTGGGACTGCGCCCGAGGTTGTCCGCGTATGCGGCCAGGACGCCGAAGATGAGGGACGACAGCACCTCGAAGGGCACCTCCAGTGTGGTGTACTGCAGGATGAATGTCTCAGCCGAGTAGCAATGGTCGGCCTCCTCGCGGTAGAACACATCGCGTTCGTTGGGGTAGATGGCGATGTTTTGAAGCATTCCTGCCCGGTTTTTGGTTAGTCTATACATGCAAGTTTAACTGGAGCCGTAGGTAAGGGGGTTCCCAACGCACCCACAAAGTACAAGGCGCCAAACTCCTGGATGAAGCCCATCCGTGATTGCACCGCGGCGTAATCGTTCTTCAAGGGCGCAAAGAACAATGCCATGATAATTGCGATCCCCACGACCTGCATTGATCGTGCCATGACAAGCGGTGGCTGTCGCCAGAAATTGATCGCCGACCGATGCAGCACCAAGGGGTACGTGATCCGTAATGGGAGCATCTGCCGCTTCAAGCTGCCCAGTTCGGCTGGTGTAGCGATGTGAGATGTTCGCCGTCCGTGATCGAATGTCTTGCGATCCCAGCCGACAATGAGCTTCTGGACCCTCTCGCGGGTCACCGCTTCTCGGTCTGCTTGTTGTAGGTCCACTGTAATCAAGTCCAGCACGAAGTCGGCTGGGTTGGTTGTCTGCGGACAGTGGTATCCCAATGCCCCAAAGTATGATAACATTGTTAAGCCGTCGCCCGCATATACCGGATACCCCCCTCGCGCAAGAAGCAAAACACTGGAGAAATGCTGGAACAAATCCGATCGGGCCTGATGGATGGTCATGACCAGAGTGCGCCCCTCTTCGGCGAGTCCCTTAAGAACCTCAATGATAGACATGGCCGTAAAAGCATCCAGGCCTGAAGTGGGCTCGTCGAGCAGTAACACTTTCGGATCGGTCAGGATCTGAATGGCGATCGTGACGCGCCTTTTCTCTCCGCCACTGATGCCTTTGATCAGTTCGCTCCCAATCAGATTATCGGCACACTCTTTCAACCCAGCTTGAGCAGAACCTCTTCCGCCCGGCGATTCTTCTCTTCTCGTGACATCCAAACGGGCAATCGTAGTCCCGCCGCGAATCGAAGACTCTCGCGCACTGTCAGTGAGGGCATTAATGCATCGTCATCTTGGGTCACAAACGACGTGACAGAGCGGATGACACTTTCGGAGGGGATAGCTCCATTGTATAGCATGTCGCCGTGGACCTGGTACTGTGTGTTCAAGGAACCATGTAGTCGTCGCGCAACAGAGTTGAGGAGCGACGTCTTCCCGCTGCCCGAGGGCCCCATAATCACGTTCAGATTACCTGGCTGAAACTCTGCGGTGATGGGTTTGAGAATGGACAATGTTCGCGATCCTCGTCCAAAGAACCCTCGTTTTCGTATGTCGAGAGCATACTTGTCTAGTGATATGGCTACTTTGCGCGCTTCCTCGGCTGGTCGGACGGCCATCTTCTCCACCCCAGTACTCATATCTTTATCGGTCTTCCGTGCCTGCGCTATATCCATTGCAAAGTGATTGTACTGTAGAAGAATACCAGCCAGGAAGTAATGGCCAACGACAAACGCCACTAATACTACGATTGGCCGCCATATCCAATTGGATGGGAATCCCAGGCTCTCCATGATATACCGACCCGTGTATTGCGTGCACGCAGGATCATTGGGGTCGTCGGAATAGGGACAATCGTAGAACTGGCCTTCAGGCGGCCCGTTGGGGCCAATAAACTCATTGGCACATAGCGCCCCAAAGATATAGAAGGTATACGCCACCCACTTTAGCCAACGCACATAGACCGGAATCTGATTTGACTGCACGAAGTAGCCGCACGCGAACGACTGCACCGTAAACGAGAGGTTGCCTACTAGACTCGCCCCAGGGAAGCTCCTGGCGATACCGATGGAGACGGCCGCAAAAGTTATGGCAATGTAATGAGTGAGGATCGTAATGGCCAGAAAGATAAAAAACTGGTCCACACTCAGGCGATATCCCACCATGAAATAGAAAATGATAGCGAAGATAACTGGAACAGGTAAATCTTCCAGAGGCAGTCTCGCTGCACGTCTACTCAATAAGAAAGCCGGAACCCCCACAACACCTTCCGTTCTCTCCCGGTCAAATTGCCGTATGTCGATCGTTAGTCGGTATGTCTCATAAAGGAGAATGAGATATCCGTTTAGACTGCTTGAGGTATAAAGGCTTCCTTGTCGGGAGCGAATCCCTGCTTGGCTCTCATCCAGCTGCACGAAGATCCAGCCGCTGATGACACCCATGCCGATAGCCTCAAGGAGACTACCCGCGAGACCCATAGGATCACGAATTGTTGTCTTGAATGTACGAGAGGTGAGGACACGGAACTGCCGATTGAATGATACAGTTTTCGCCATCGGTATGTCTTGTACCCGTGTAGTTGAACCCTCACGCTTCTCATCATCTTGCCGTGATCCGCACATTTCCTTGTCGGTCTTCCGTTTAGTTCTCCACGAAGTTTTGAGAAATTCAACTCTCGCCAAGGACGCTGCTTCCAACTCCTCTGTACGGTTGTCAATAGCAGCAAGATCGATCAGAAACTCCGCTGGATTGACAAAGGGAGGAAGCACATGGCCATGACTTTCAAAGTAAGTCAAAGACCCGCTTGATGGTCCACTATAAACGACCGACCCCCGGGCTAAGAGAATGACATTATCAAAAAGATTCCAAATCTCTGAGCGAGGGGCATGGATCGAGACGATGACTGTTCTTCCCTCTTGGGCGAGCCGTTTTAACGTTCGGACAATTTGAAAGGCGCTTGTCGCGTCGAGGCCTGTGGTCGGTTCATCGCAGAATAGTACCGACGGGTTTGCCAACATCTGCACCCCAATGCTCGTGCGTCTCTTCTCACCCCCACTGCAGCCCTTGTGGATATTGGTGCCTATCCGTGTATCGGCGCATTCTTTCAGGCCTAGCTCCATAATGACCTGTTCTACAATTTGATGGCGCTCCTTCTGCGTGGTAGGCGGCGGGAGCCGTAGATCGGCCGAGTACCGCAGAGTCTCTCGGACCGTCAGTGTGGGTATGAGGACATCTTCCTGCATGACATAGGCACTGCGAACGCTCTCAATGTTGGCATCGCCATTGAAGGTCGTAGTCCCTGCGACAGCGGCCTTGCTCATACCCATTCTGCCTGCCATAAGGTTGAGCAGCGATGTCTTCCCAGATCCACTACTACCAATGATCGCCGTCAAGCTGCCACTCGGCATGTAAGCGTCGATTCCGTCCAGCACGGTTTTCTGCGCATCGGCCGCCGTCTTCCCGCGTAAACGGCGCCATATCTGTGACGGGGCGGTTTCCCATATCGGGGGAGAGATATCAACTTCCAGCGATAGGTTCTTCACGCGTATGTCAACGGGCTGGACTTCGCGAAAGGATAAATTAAAAGTGGCCGATTGGTCTTGTAAACTTTCGACATTGACGCCATGTTTTGGGTCATCCAGTGGGCAAATGTCGTCTCCGTCCATGGTAACAGGTCGCCTATACACAGCAGGCAACTCCCAACATTCTCAATTACTCCGTATACAGACCCTTTGTCTATCCACAAAAAATGAAAAGAGGTAGATAAAAAGAGAAAAGGGGCCAGGCCCTCAGGGCATGATAATCGGTAATTAAGCTGGAGGCCCTACTGTACCCACGCGGGCGGGGCCAAGACCAACGGTCTGGGGAATCGGCCACCGTCGTTGGTTTGGCGTATCAGAGCTAAAAGGAGCATAAACCCCAAAGAGACTAGCTGGAAGCCATCGGGAATTATTGGCTGGAAGGTTGTTCAGCCTAACGGGAGTCGACATTTCTGTAAGGATAGTCGGGAACCCTCCTAAGTCTTTGGTTTCTTTTTTCTCTGTCAGAAAAGGATGATGCGATAAACTAGTTATATATTGACGTAGAAGCCATTAATGCATCCTTGATCATTGTGGAGACAGAAGAGAATCATACAGAATATCCCGAGTGTCTTGCAGAAGCCTCAGCGATTGTGACCGCGAGTCTGATTTCTTATAATGAAAAAACCAAATCATGTGCCCTTGTATGTAGTGGCACAAGGCACACCAACCATATCTGGGACCTCGCCATGGAGGTGTTGTGTCAGGCAGCTTGCTCAAAATGGGATATCTCTTCCTGAATCGAAGTCCATTCAGGGTCCTTGGCTTGGTTTGTCCACAAGCAGTATCGATGGGTCTCGAGTGATGGCCTCAGTCTGATAAAAACCGTCCTTTCGCTTATTATATAGAGATTCATGTATTATGCCGAAATGATAAGGTGCAAATAAGATTAAGTAAAGCGAAGGACTTGACGCTTGGGAAAAGAGAGTGACTCTGGTGTACGTGGAGAACGAGTTATAATAATCCTAGATGTAGACTCGTAGATAGCTGAAATACAATAGGAAAGTAAAGTAATGGTAAGGGGAGAAAGACGGTCATTCCCAGTAGCCTCTGCTGAATATTCACCATAGCGATGCACAGAGGCAGTCCTGCAAAGCAGCTCACCTGATACATCTTCATAGTATATATCCTCTAGTAATTATTGGGAACCTGTCGATCACCAGCTAAACACCTTACTTAAAAACAGCTTGAGCTACTATAGGTTCTCCTCAGTCCTCTTTAAGTTTGTAGACTTTTCGAACTAGCAAGGTTTTGTCGCGTAAACATGATATCTGTACGAATTTGTAAACTCATTACTCCTGAGTAGGTTATATTATGTAGACAGTTGACGTTTGATATCAAAAGTTGAATAGAAATATTCACTCATAACCGCAATCGTTATACAAAGAAAGGAAAAGGTCATCAAAGTCAATGAAACCACGAAGAGCTCATCGACACAACTGGATATATAGAATACAGGCAAAAATAGAAGCTGATAGTCGTCCGGCAATTCCCCTTAGACACTCCACCAATGAAAATCTGAGATACAATATACTGTAGTCCATGACCGCGCGTGCCATCAATCATGCACTGACGCCATTTCCCTATTCCGTAGCCGTAGAGAAACACGGATTTCGTGCTCTCATCCTTATTTTTGACACCGGGTTCCGATCCCCCGACCATCCCTATCGCCAAAAGAAGCAAGGAAAAGAAAAAAAAAAAAAAAAAAAAAAAAAAAAAAA